ACCTTCCTCAAGAACTCCATGGGACTGTGGAAGACAACACTGGAAGTCAACTCAAGACAGCTCACACAAGTGGCCATCAGGTGCGGCATATACCAAGGCCATGCACTGTCCCTGCTGCTGTTCTGCATAGGCTTGTACCCCCCCAGCTTGAACCCCGCCATCCCCAGGACTGGAAATGGATACAAGTTCAAGAGTGGAACTACCATCAGCCACCTCCTCCACATGGATAACATCAAGCTGTATGTTAAGAGTGAATGAGACATCGACTTGCTGATCCACCTGACACAGCTCTATAGTGAGGGCATTGGGATGCCATTCAGACTGGAAAAGTCTGGCTGGATGGTAGTAAAGAGAGGGAAGGTAGTTAAGACTGATGGGGTGGAACTACCAGCAGACCACATAGCAGACATAAAGACCAGCTACAAGGACCTTGGTATCCCACAGTCACATGGGAACCACGATGAGGAGGCAAGAAAGACAGCAACATCCAAGAATCACCAAAGGATAAGAGAGGCCCTGGAGAGCCAGCTCAATGGGAAGAACAAGATCCACGCCATCAACATGTATGCCCTTCCAGTCATCATATACCCTGCTGGTATACTGAGCTGGCCAAAGGAGGATATGGAGGCTGCTGATGTGAACACCCAGAAGCTCATCGCAATGTACAGAGGTTTTCACCCCAAGTCCAACACCCAGGGACTGTACACCAGCCGGAAAGAGGACGGGTGGAGTCTGGTGAGCATCAAAGCCAATGTCCTGGATGAAACCAGAACATCCAGGAGTACATCAGTAAGATGGCACCCAAAGATGAGCTGCTGAGTGAATGCCTGAGGCAGCAGCAGACATGGGAGGAAGTTCAAGTGGAGGAAGAGCAATGGCAAGACAAGACCTCGCATGCGATGTACCATCGACAGATAGCTGAGATGGCTGACACTGGGAAATCCTACCAGTGGCTGGAAAGGGCTGGACTGAAAGACAGCACTGAGGCACTGATCATAGCTGCACAAGAACAGGCACTAAGCATTAGAACCATAGAAGCAGGGATCTACCACATTAGACAGGACCCAAGTGCAGACTGGGCAGAGGCCTCAGAGACAGTCCAACACATAGTGGCAGGGTGTAAGATGCAGGCAGGGACAGCATACAACGAAAGGGACAAACCAGGAGCTGGCATTGTGTAAAGGAAAATCTGCACAGTTTAAGGCCCAGAACCTCCCA